AGAGAAATTTTGGGATTTTTATAGTGTGTGGTCAATACTTGGGGTGTAGTGAATAAGGATCTCAACGGGGCGAGGAATGTCTAGAGATGTTTCTCCGCTCCTCGCCCCGCCCCACAATATTTTTCTCATTCTAGCCACGGAGGAATATTTTTTCACATCCCCATGTCACAGATCCCCACTGAGAATCAGAGATCCACAGAGATCAAATTTAAAAAATATATATTATATATTTTTTATCAAAACTATGAAAATGTATTTTATTTTATTTTTTCCTTTTAAAAAAAATAATATATATTTTCCACCTTTCTTTTTTAAAAAACAAAAACACATCTTGTATCAATAACAAAAAAAAAGTATAAAAACACTTGTATTTATGAAAACAACACCACTAATTTACTAATTAAATGAGAAACATATTACTAATTGAAGTATAGTGAAGTTGAAGAATAATTACACAATGAACAAAGAAATGTGGTTTTTGTGATGATGATGAGAACATAAGAGATAAGTAACGGAGAAGACAAAGAGAATTGAGAGAAGAAAAAACAAGGAAACGATGTGTACATTATATGTAATAAGTGATTTTTTTAGAGTTGAGTAGATGGATAATAAAACTAAACATTATACAATTAAACAAAAAATTAACCGATTCATTGATGACTCTTTATTTTTTAATATAATAATTTTTTTATTAAAAAAGTATACAAAATTACAGAATATATATATATATATATATATATATATATATATATATATATATATATATATATATATATATATATATATATATATATATATATATATATTTTGAACAGCACCGAATATAATTTAAGATGATGTTAAAATCTTAGAATTTTACTTTTTAAGGGCTCACCTTCCTTTAAAAACCCTTCCAACTAATTTTCAATGAAGTCACTTTACACCACTTGCAAGTTACAACCTTTTACTTTTTCTTTCTTTGGATTAAATTAACTGTATGAAGAAAATAAATGTTATACAGCTTTAAGAAAAATATACTTGCTTTTCTTTACTTCAACTAAAAGAAGCAAATTTGTTTCTATAGTGTATAATTAGGGATGTGCATGGATAATAAATCAAACCAAATCAAATCACATATATGGTTTGGTTTGGATCTTAAAACCATTTATATAAAACAGGTTTATTTTTTTAAACCAGTTTACAAGTGGATTGGTTTGGTTTCAAACTGGTTTTTTAAAAAAATAACGGTTTTTTTAAAAATCAATTTTAAACCGGTTTCTCTCAAAACTAATTTTTTATGTTAAATAATCTAAACAATTCCGCAAAACCATTTTCCCATTTAATCATAAAAAACACAATTTCACACAAAATCGATTAATATCTCCACAATGACAAACCAACTTATCAAGACTATTATTCCTATGAGAAAATTAAATTCAAATCATTAACAAACCCACTAGAAGATACATGAATAATTAAACTTTACACTTCACAAACACAAACAGTACTATATGAATTTAAATATATAAGTGAATGAGAATATGATGAGACACAGACGCTAACTCACATTCACATGCTATGTTTAAAGCAAAAAAAAGTCTTGCCAATTTATACAAGTAAAATCTCACTTTCAATTTGACCCAACAATATAGGAATAGTGATAACAAAATTACAATTACATGAATTCACACAGGCATAATTATTCAACCATGACAGTGAGGTATATACGTTTTTCTTGATTCATTTGATTAAAATCATTGATGTAATTAGCATCTATTAATCATCATTAATTGTTAATTATCATCAATTTATCAAAAAAAAACAACATTCCTCGTATCACTAACCGTCCCCCACCGTTGCTTAACGTCCACCCGCAACTTTCTCCGTCGCAGAACTATTTCGATAAATCCATGATTGTGATTTAGAGAATTAAGATATAAATGAGATTAGGATTTCTGAAATTTGTGTTGATCTTGATTTTTCCAACTATTACACTTTTATTTTTGAAACTTATTGAAAAATGGTTACCAAATCTTAAACCGGTTTTAAACAAATGGTTACCGGTTTTTTTTTAATTTGATAAATGGGGTACCAAATTTAAAATATAAATTTAGATTGAATTTTAAAATTTGGATTAATTTAGATAGAAATTTGGTTTATGATTATTGGTTATTTTGCACACCCCTACGTATAATTCTGTTAAAAATTCTCTTTACTTCCTATTCTCTTACGACTCATTGTGTATATTGATATATTAACATGTGCATCTTACTGTTATTTTCTCTTCTTAATTATATTCAATTAGATAATGTGCTTTTTGATTCCTTGCAACATACGCCAAGGATGTAAAATCATCTTGGATATAAAAAACAAACCCAATGCTAAAAATTTAGTCTTTGTAACCTCATGTTCAAAGGAAAATTTTAACCCATATCTCTATATTTAATTTCATATCTCTACAGTATAAAAAATTGAACAAAGATATCTTTATATAAATACTTAACAATTCAAAAGAATTCACTTTTTTCTCATTTTCTTCTCGCTAGAGTGTAAAAATTTCACAGAATTTTTTTGGTTTTCGAAAAACTCAGACAAAAGATTTTCGATTCACATTTTGCACTCTAGAAAATTTACTAGTAAATTTTTTGATTTACCTTTTTTATATTTGTTCTCCCGATAACTTGTGGTGAAGTTATCCGATTTGTATTTTCTACACACCAGATAACTTGTGGTCTAGTTATCTGATTCTTCTCTTTTCTTTACTGAATAACTTATCCACATGTTATCTAGTTTGTTGTTTGCTATTTCGAAAAACTTGTCTTGTAGTTTTTCGGTTTGATGATTTTTTTTTATAATTTTTTTAGCGGCTTGCATCGAGGACGGGATGGACTCATTTATCGACGATACAGTGAGAGACAGCCGACTCGGCAGCCGTCGGCTCGTGAGAAAAATCAGATAGCAGCACCTATATCTATACCACTAAATTCACCATTTTCTAGAGGACCATATGATACTTTCAAAAAAACCACTTTTTAACTAATTTAACTACGCAGTAAAAAGTATAAAAAAATAATAATTTTAAAATATTTAAAAAATTATAGGGGTATGCATCCGCGTGAGAATATGGAGTAAAATTTTCTGTACTAAATTTAAATCTCCTCCAATAGGGTTGTAAAATAACCAATTAATATCCCTTTAATTAATTAAAAAATTCAACTTCACAAATTATTTTATTCAAAAATAATAATAAAATTACATGAGATTCTTTAAATTATTTTTTTAACAGTCCTTTAAATTTTTTTAATAACTTAGACCTTTAATTTACTAAATATGTGCATCGTTATCTTTATTAAATAGGGTAAATGTGCTAATTATAAATGCAAATATTTTGAATTGTATGAAAATGATTAAGTACAAGAGTTATTACATATTTCTAAATGTTAAAAATGTAAAAAAATAAAAATGATGTAAAAATCACTCTAAAAGACTAAGTTGTTACAGAAAAATAAAAAAATAAAACTTAAAGACTATGTTACAAAAAAAAAATCTAAATGGCTTCTGATGTAATAATATTTCCTAACATAAGAAAAATGATTTTTGTCCCCGGTTGTTTTGACTCGAGTCTCTATAATATTTGTCCATATCAAAATTAGTCCTTATATGCTAGTGTTTTGTAGCAAAACAAACACATAACCAAATAACTTCTATGAGAATAATAGTATGCCACACTTTTGTATCTGAATATAAAAACACTGGTTATATAAGAATACTATGCCAAATTGGTTATAGTTTTAATGTGCAACAAGTCACATTGGTTTTAGTTTCTGTATAGGGAATAATTTCTTTGGTTCAGCTTTGAAGAGAGAAGAGAAGAAAGAGATGAAATCTTTCAGCTTATGTGAGAGTGTAGTGTTCCAATAGAATGATAAAGAAAAACTTATAATTAACATATTTTTAATTTGGAGTATATTAATGTGTTTGGATGACCATGAATTTGATCAAAATCACGTTTAAAAACCACATCAACTCAAGTTTCAAATAGTTGCTTCATTATTTTCACATTTTTTTGGGATTGGAATGTGATTTTCCAACGTGATTGTGATTTTGTTTTCTAACGTGAATTCAACACATGTTAAAAGAAGCGAAAATTTTATCCAGACAGGAGATGTAATATGACATCAATTTTGGGGCTCGGGGTCCGCTCGAGCACGCTTATAATGTTTCTAAAAAATTGCCAAAAATTGCACTGTCATCCCAACTAGACACCAAAATCAAATATCTGCGGTTGATAATGATTTCACACTTAAATTATGTGAGGCAAAAAAGAATATCAACTATACCAACAAATTATCAGATTGTAAATACTCAACAAACCTAATTGTTAGTGGAGCCAAAGGGGCATGGAAAAAGTTTTAAGTTGGTATAAAATTCAAATCCTAAAAACTAACAACCAATAACTTACTAACATCATCAGTCTCCAAAAAAAAACTACTTACTTAGGCTATTTAAGTTACAGATGCGGTGGTGAAAGGTTTGAAGAGAATGATCCATAGCGGTGGTGAAAGGTTTGAACAGAATGATCCTCACATGGATCTCAGGTGAACAAACCACGTATATGCCAAACATAACATAAATAAATAAATAAATAAGAGACATAAAACTAAGAAAAAAGCAAAAGCTGATACAATTTGAGGGACTGAAAATAATTAAACTATTGGAAAATTGATAATCTTGACAGAAGTAGAATGGTCGTTTTACACTGACAAATACTTACCACTTCTCACCGACAAAAATTTATCACTTCTCTTGCCGCAATAGATAAGATACTTTGTTTTCGACAGGTGATAAAAAATATTAACAAAAAACCAATGCTATAGAAATTATCATAGATGAAGTAGCTAAGTTTCATAAGGTAAAGAAAATTGAAATGTGAAGTTAGAAGATGATCCAACTTACAATGACGATATTTCTAAGGGAAGAATTGGCATGTACAGTTAGAATGCAAGGCAAAAGCAAAAATTCTAGTTTTCCAGTTCACTCCTTATCCAATCCTGTGAACACACCAAAGCTTGGACAGTATCCGGACTAAGTGAGCTCCAATCACGGTCAACGGTCCTTCCGCTATAATTAAACGCCAACTCCGGTGCAACCTTTGACATTGGGATTCCTAAAACATTTCGGGCCATCATGGATAAGACCGGATACCTCGGAGTGTGAACTTTCCACCAGTTTAATATGTTGAAATCAACGTTTCGCGGAAAGAGAGGCTCTTCTAAGTACTTTTCTAGATCTGATTTTGCACCTTCGCCTTGAGAAGTTTCATGGAGGAATTTGTCGAACCCCATCAGCCTGTCTCTTGAGTCCTTTGCAGACCACGGCAAGCAAAGTGGACTACCACCGTTACCAACTTGCCAGGCTAATCCTTGGTCATGAGAAGCTAAGGGCGAACCTATGGAATGTTCGCCGTAAAGATCCTTCACACCCTCGAAGACCTCTTCGATCCGACTTGCGGACATGCTACCATAGATTTGGGGATAATAATAGTCGACCAACTTCATCTTGAATCGAGGGTCTAACATGGCAGCAACTGCCAACCCCAAGCTACATTTTTCCCAATACTCGTCAAACTTGCTTCTCATCTTCAACACCAAAGAACTGATACACGCATCTGAATTCTTGCACCATTCTATCAAATGTAACTTAACATCACAGAGCTCAGGGAAATATATATTTGCAGTTGGATACTTGCTCCTTGTGAAAATATTTATAACCTCGACAAAAAGCTTTAAGTAGCCGGTAACTGTGGTGAGCCTCTCCCACTCTACTTCAGATAAAGAGAGCCTCTCCCACTCTACTTCAGATAAAGAGATATTACAGTCATTCGTATTTTCTTTCAAAAGAATTAAAGCATCCTTGAATTCTAAAGCAGCTTCAAGCATTGAATATGTCGAATTCCATTGCATTGGGTTATCTAGAAATAAGCATTTTTGAGTCATGATCCCGACTTCTTTAGCCATCTCATGGAACTTTCCCAGTACAGTTTGTGAAGTTTTAATATATCGAGTAGTTTCACGAATCTTATTGACTATCTCGCTTATACCTCCCAAAGCAATCTGAGACATGACATTAAGAATATCGGCAACACAGCGTATATCAAATAATTGACCTTTGCAATAAAGAAACCTATTTTGCATAAGTCTCTCACCGATTCTAGATGCAATGTTATCACAGGTAGAACAACTGTCTAAAATCATGGAGAACAATTTACGGTCAATATCCCAATCCATCAAACAAGACATCACAGCTTGTGAAAGCATGTCTTGAGTATGAGAAGGATCAATCCGTATAAAATTTAATATCCTCCTTCTTAGCTGCCATGATTCATCAATGTAATTTGATGTCAAACACAAATACTCAGCATCATCCATTGCAATCCACACATCAGCACTAAGACTGATCTTTCCAGGTAATTTATCAAACATCTCATTCATCTTTTTCCTCTCTTTCTCATATATCTCAATACAATCAGCCTCAACCCGATTCAATGTAACAAGCTCAAACAAGGGCTGTAGGTTTTTTATAAAAGCTCTGAAACCAACATGTTCAACCATGGCCAATGGATATCCGTGTAGAATAATCATGCGGGCAAGATCAAATCGACTACGTCTTTGATCAAAGTTACTACTTCCAGTGTTGAGAGATTCATCTTTCAACTGTGCCTGCTCAAATTTGATATTCACAAGGTTAAGGGTATCATCTTTGTTTGAATCTTGATCCAAATTAAAATTTGCAATTGCAAGAGTCCCTTCCTTTCTCTTTTCTCTTGCTGTAATGTATTGCGCTAGACCATGGTTAGACCTTCTCTGACACCTGATTAAATGGTTCCTTAAATGTGATGTTCCACTCGTACTTGATCCACTCAGCTTCTTTTTACAATGCCTACAAACAGCCACACATGTGTCGCCTTTTTTAATCCTGTCAAAGTCATTCCATACAACAGATTTCAACCTACTAGATTTCACAATCACAGCATCAGTCATGTCCATCGCATAAACCTGGAACAAAAGCATGCCCATTAGTTTTGATTAATGTGTTTTCTATTCAAAGGGACAAAAATGCAAAGAACACATAGCATTTTTTACTGTCAACCAGTGTTGTCCGTGGCAGAGTCAAAATCCCGCCATACCGACCGCTTTGCAGCACCGTTATAGCGGATTATGGCGGAAAAACCCACCATAGCGGCCAATATTTACATTGTGGCGAGCCCAAAAACCACCATGTATATCCACCATAGGTGCGCATGTGTTTAAAATTATGAAAATGCAAGGAGTTTTAAAACCTATATTTAAAAAAGTAGGAAATATTGTCGATATGAATTAAAAGATAAAAAGATAATACCCCGCTGAGGGGGTTTATTTAAGAGCGGCTTACACAAAACATAATTCACACATCAGCTTCAACAAGATATTGAACACATTACCCATCCTTGTCCAACATTCAATAGTATACAACCTATCATACAGTAATAATAGTTGATTGATTGATGTTTCATTCAGACCACACTTACTTTAATTTCATTGATTTTATAGGCTCTAATAACTTATTGTTGATAAGTATATAATAACTATAGTAATATGCATGGCATATAAATGAAACATACTATGGACTGGTCGCAGACTGAGGCACTCACCTCTACACCCTAATTTGTGGGATTAGAATATTAATTCCAACTTTCACTGTGTTGAAGCCAACGACAAAACTGAACCTACAACATCCTTGTTCAAAAGAATTAAGATCAGTTCAAGCCACCAATCATTTTTTAGTGGACACCGTTATATTAGTTAACTCGCTGTTTCAGTTAACCTTTTATCGGTATTTAGTGCATCTGGTTATAACTTATTAAGATAAGAAAAGACTGATAAACCGACTGGCTTACAGTTTACCAAAAGCAGACCTGATCTAGTTTATATAACTTTGACTCACATACATAGTTAAAATATAAATTGAGTGGGACTTATTTAAGAAAAGACTCAAGATATTTAAAGAATTAAGACAGATTCAGAATGTAATAAAATTAAACTCTGGGCAAATTTTTTCTTATACTTATGTAAAAAGATGTTTTATAACCTTGCCATGCTCTGTAGTCGCAGGTGTAGGCACACTTGGTCAAGCTGCGTAAACAAATAGTGTGTCCATTGTTTGCAATGTGTGTTTCTATTTTCTCTTCTGTTACTAGTTTATGTTCCAACAATTGTTATCCAATGACAATTGACTCTGGTGTCAAATTCAAAGTGGCAAGGTTCAAAGGAACAGATAATTTTGAATTATAGCAAAGGAGGGTTAAAGATTTGTTGGCTCACAAGATTAACAGAAGGTGATGTGTGAAACAAAATCGATAGACATGGCAATGCCAATTGGTTAGAGTTGCAGGAGGAGGTTGTAACAGCCCAAATTTTACCAACAGAAAAGTTCATTTTTTAAACCATAACAATACAATAGATGGCATTCTAAGACTACAATCAAAGTATTATCTTCCTATTTAAAAATCTTTTTACATAATAAGAGATTTGCCCAAGATTATAAAACACTGATTTTCCTCTAACTTTAGAAAAATCGTTTTACAGACTTTTAAAATACCGACTTTTCTCTAACCTGTAGTGTATCTTAACAGCTAAAGCTTATCACCCAACACCATTATGGTCTGGTGTTCTATTATTATTCAGTACTTAACAGTTCCCATGAAGTCGGAGTAAGGTAATAAGAAATCTAAACAATCACAACAGGAAAACTATTTGTACTCAGATTGCAGACCAAACAAAAATTCAGGATAATCTCTTAATTTCTTAGTGATAGAATGCAGCAACTATCTCTGAATAGAAATTGATTATTTTAACCATAAAAAAGGCCAGAGTCTAAACACTTGCAACAAAATATAAACAATATGGAAGAGATAGCTTGAGACTAGTACGGACTGCAGACATAAAGACTTATTTCGCTCTAGTAGTGACTTCTGAAATCATACAGAACATAGAGGATAATCCAGGAAGAAAACACATGTCTAAAATGCCTTTGCAAATAAAATAAAATAAAAAATAAAAAGTCTAAAATGCAGAGAAAATTAGTGAGGCTCGGTATCTTAGAAATTAAGGAGAAACAAAAATCAATATATAGGCTTGATAAGGCAAGAGAAAGAACGAAGAGACTTGATTCAAGTTGAATCAAGTGAGATCTGTTAAAGATAAAAAGGGCAAGGTTTTGGTTAAAAAAAGAATATAATAGAGTGAAAAAAGTATTTCTACAACTTATTGAACAGTGCTCACAAAAATCACAAACAATTGTTTTCTTGCTCCGGTCTTTATAAGAGTTTCAGTGCCAACCAATATCAAAATTGTCAATAGATTTAAAATAACCTTATTGTTGGAGGTTGGTGTTACTCTTGCAATGACAGGGAAAGATGATGTCATGGTTATCAAAAGAGAAATGAGGCAAGGCAAACATAATAAAGGTTGTAGGAGTGAAACAGAGCAAGGAGAAGAGGTGAATCAGAAGAAAAAATCAAAAGAGAACGGGGTGGAGCAAAGGCAAACGATGAAGCAAAGGAGAACGGTGAAAAAACAGATCAAAATGACAAAGAATGCAAAAGACACAATGGAAAACGTCGCAGGGGTGAAACAAGAAAAAACGATGAACTATAGAAGCATAACATGTGGGGTTAAATATTAGACCATTAAAAGAGCAGGAAAGTCCGCCACACCCTTAAAAGAAAATTAAAAGTTACGTTTCAAATTATTAGTGTTTAGGATTTTTTCCCAAATTGAGAATAGCTGTCATCAAACTGCGATGACATTGCTATTGCGCCACCATAGCACCACCACGAAAGCACTGATAGCGGCCGCTATGACCGCTATCGTCAATAGCGCTTCACAGGCTAATAGCGTAGCAGTGAGGGGCCGTGTCGTTACACTCTGTCGCTATTGACAACCTAGATAGAAACATGGTTTTTGATATAATATTGAGGCGTAGATTGATCCATGTAGCGGAGCCCACTTAGTGGGATAAGGCTTGGTTGTTGTTGCACTATTTTAGGCACAGGGATATAAACCTAAGATTTGCATTAGAACTAAATGTCATTTCGCTAGAAGTGTTATACCGCTTTAACATGTGGAATTCGAACAAATCACTATGGTCTGCCATACGCAGTTCAGTACAAAATATTGTCAAATACCTAAGATTTGCATTAGAACTAAATGTCATTTCGCTAGAAGTGTTATACCGCTTTAACATGTGGAATTTGAACAAATCACTATGGTCTGCCATACGCAGTTCAGTACAAAATATTGTCAAATAACCGCTATAGCGACACTTTAGAACTGTTGCAAAGCAGAAATTTTATGAAGAAATCAATCACATAAGAACAAGAAACCATTCAATCTCAATACCAACAGAAACTAAAACAACACTATTCAAAAGAAACAAAACTAATATACACAACTGGAACCCAAAAAAAAAAAAAAAAAGATTTTGACATAGGATTGGAACACCCAATAAGAAACTGGTTCTACATCTCCAGAAAATTGTGTTCAAAATATTGAAATTTTAAATAAAATTATTCTCCGACAAAAAAAAACGTAAATTGCAAAAGAAATTCGAAAAGGGAGAATAAACAGACAGAAACAACGTACCGTGTAGCACAATTGTTCGGTTTCAGCGATTGGAGTGCGAAGGAAGAAAAAACAACGATGGGTTTTCGCGAAAACCCTAATTTGATGGGGGAAAAAATGAAACAAGAGGAAGAAAGAAAAAACAATCTCACGTACAGTAGTTCCTATTCTTCTTCTCTCGTTAAAATGATAAAACGCAGCGTTTGTGTTAGGTTCGACTATAAATGTGTTTATTTTTTCGCGCTATTATATGAATTTTTTTTTAGAATAACTATGTATTTGAATTAAATTACCACTTAAATGAGAGATTCAAAAAAATTCTCATGCGTGTCCAACGCGCTTTTTCATCAAACACACAACAACAGTCTAATGCCCAACATCAGCCTTACCATAACCTATACATGCCACCAAATGCCCAACATCAACATCAACATCCTTACCATGACTCGTACATGTCACCCACCCAGTCACAGCATCAACCACCATACCAATATAGTCTTGATACGTCTTTTGAGCCTACCTCATCCACCTATAACCCAGATAACTCATTTGACCATACCCCCTCCAATTATCCACTATTTAACTACCAAACCCCACAACAACCAACACACTATTTCCAACCCAATTTGATGTACGAATTCAGACAACCATACCGTCTATACTCCACCCAACCTCCCCGGCAATCCTACGAAAACATGGGCATTGGGCTTAACTACGGAAGCGCCGTTGATAGTGGACCTCCCGGCTATTGGGGTCAAATGATTCGAAATTTATCTGATACGTCGGGTCGTCCCAACAAAACCCTCCTACACAACTCAACACACAAAGACCGGACACGCCACAACAACCTCATCGTAGACCTCGTCGCAATGCGCATCCTCCACAATGTGGCTCCGGTGGTCGCTTGGATAGAGTCGGTCATTAGTTTGTTTTTTTGTTCAATTGTAATTTTCATTATATTGTAATTTAATATATTTTAATATTTATTGCATGTCTATATTTTTTAATGTTATTTAAATTTCAATTAATTATGAAAAACATAAACTATAATTTAATATTTGATCTGATCATATCAGAAGGGGATTGCTGGCTGTCACGCGTCATTGACTTACTGTCTGTTCACCGGTGTAGAAGAAGAGGAGGGGGTGTACCTGCAAGGCACTCCGATGCCAAAGTAAGTGTATGGGCAGAGTGATCACAAGTATAGAAAAAGGGGTAAGAAGAGATTACCTGACCCTCTTGGAGAAGAGGGTATTTATAGAGAGACCCCAGCGCAGGGCCAACGGTCATTTGAGTTGGGCTAGATGGGCAGGCCTAACCCAAGTGACTGCTAGGGCTTACGTGGCATAGTGAAGACCAGAACGTGGTCTTCGCCCTAGTTCAAC